TCAACAAAGCTGCTTGATTTTATAAGGATCGAAAGGTTATGTTTGGGACCAGCTAATGGCATAATGGTTACGTTGGTGAACTCCAACATTGTCCACTGTGGTTCAAGTGTCAGACCGGCAGCTTTGAAATATGCCGGGCATGTGTGCGTGGTTGCCCCAAATCCTGAGAGGAGACTGGATGAGAAGGGACTGTGGCCATCTCCTCTGGGTGGGTGATTTCTTGCTTTTTGTTTCTCTTTCTGTGTCTCAGCAGCAAGCACACACACACAAAGGTTACGTTTGGTGGGGAGGAATAATTTTAAGTTGACACTGGCTTACCTGGCTTTAGACTTCCTGTTCCCAGAAGACAAGGAGTGAAGGACCAGGAGCTGGACCTGCTCAGCCCACTGAGATCCTTCTGATCCTGACAGGAGCCTGGCGAGCCAAGCACAGGCTCTGGAAAGGCACAGGCCCTGGGCTCCCACGGCAGTGGCACCTGAGTAGTCAGGGTTAGAGGGATACTTTGTCCTTCCCCTTTTCCCAGGGAGTCCCAGGGAGCTAGGTTTCTGGTAAGGGTATGTGTATTGCGATCAGGTTTTGGCTGGGCCCCTGGGGCTTTGGGGACAAGGGTCTCAGATGTCCCAGCTCCTATCTGGTGTGAGTGGGACCATGGCTGAGCAGAACTGCTTTGTGCCAGGAACTCGCTCTGCCCCTCCCTCGGTACTGCAGTCTCCAGCTCACAGAAGGTTTTGCTGAGGGGTGATCGCATGTCATGCATGTTGTATGTCATGCATGTTGCATGTCATTGAGAACTTAGCTGCTCTCCCTCTTGGTCTTCCACTTTTTGGCTCACCAAGCTTTGTCACATCCTCTTTCCAGTCATTCCACATCCATCTTAGACTGGGGAGAGGGTGCTCATGTGCTCATTGGCAGAGGAGGAAGCTGAGGTTCAGATGGAGTTGGCTTCCTCAAGGTCACAGTGCTGGTAAGATATTTCTGGGCACTAAACTTCCCAGCCTCCTCACCAAGCCCGCCTTGGCTCACTAAGCATGCTCACATCTTCATCGCATGCATTTCGCCCAGTCTGACCTCGCTTTACAAAGGCAGAGGCGGGACTCTGAGCTGGTTGCAGGACTGGAAATATGATTGATTTATGGGGAGGATGGGGGAACTGATCTCGGGGAGAGGGATAAAAACCAGCATGTATGGGGCCAGCAGGTGGCATGGTGGTTAAGGCACTGGACTCTCCCATATGGCCAACCATAGTTTGAGTCCCAGATCTGGTGGCTTGCTTTCTCACTTTCCTTCTCTCTGTGTGTCTGTCTTTCTCCGGTCAAATGAAAATAAATGAATGAATAAATAAAATTAAATAAATAATTTGTAAAAAATGACACAATGATGTTGACATAACATCATACACAGTATGAAGTGTGGAAAAGAAAAAGAATAGAAATAAGTGCCAATCCTGGACTCCCTGACCCCAAAGCAAAAGTGATGAAATGGCAGACACATTATAAGGTGGTGGCCCAGGGAGAGGTCGGCTAGACTTTTGGAACAGGGCCAGACACAGGGCTGGAGGTGAATTTCCTTGTCTTCTCCCACCTGCCTGCTCAAGGAGCCAGAGCAGAGGACAGAGAAGTGCCTTGGCTTGGCTGGTGTTTTTCCTGCGGCAGGTGGGTGTGACCCAGCCAACGGCTTTTGGCATGAATCAAGCATCAACACACAGCTCTCCAACTCCGCTCCACTTAGGTGCTGAGTGGCTCCCCCAGGGCACCCCTCCTACCCCTCTTTCAAACCTGGGCTCCCCAGTACCCTTTCCCTAGCTCCTCAATGACCTCCCTGTCCTGGGCTGGCCCCTTGCCCACACCTGCCCTCTCCTAGTCCTCAGGCCCTCTTCACGCTCTGCTCTCTGCTCTCGATATGGTTGGCTAGGCCCAGCAGGGAAGGACAGCCTCTGAGTCACTCCTGTTGAGCCTCAGGTAGAAAGTTCTAGGGTCTGTGTGCTCCCTTCCCCCACTCCTGCTCCTCTTAAGTGCCAGCTGGCTGTGTTCCAGGACAGCAAGTGCAGGAAGTGTGTGGGGGGGAATCTGGCCATCTGGCCAACTCACTTGTGTACTCAGAAAGCCTATTACAGGGCTACCTGGGCCGGGATGACAGGTAAGGGGCACCTGGGAAAGGAGTTTCCCATGTTGGAGTGCCTACCATCTGGGGCAAGCCCCTGGCCTTCTCTGGGCCTCAGTTTACTCATCTGAGCCAAGGCAATAAGAGATCCCTGTCGGGACCAGCAGTTAGTGTAATGGCTATGTCACTGGACTCTCATGTAGTTGATCACGGTTCAAGTCCCGGACTTGGTAGCTTAAACTCACGCTGGGCGTGTGTGCGTGAGTGCCCAAGATCCTTAGAGGAGAATGGAGGAGAAGGGATTGTGGTGTGTGGCCCTCTCCCCTGGGGGGTGATTTCTTCCTTTCTATCTGTCTCTGTCTTTCTGGGGAGCGCACACGCCCTATAGCAAAAACCTCTCAAAAAAAAAAAAAAAATCCCAGTCTTGTGGGCCAGCCAGTGGCATGGTGGTTAAAGCAACTGGATCCACATGGGCCCACTTTAAAGTTTGAGTCTTGGGCCCCTAGCTTGGTGACACACTGGGTGCCTGCGCATGCGTGCTTAAAACATCTAGAGACTGGAGAAGAAGGGATTGCGGTGTGGCCTACCTCCTGGGGGAGCTTTCTTACTTTTCTCTTTCTCTGGTTAGCACATGCACCTTATGACAAAACAAAACAAAAAAGAGAGCCCTGCCTTGCTTATTGACTGAGGCTGTGATGAGGTCATTCTGGAAAGCACTTACTGGTGATGGCACAAGAGTCGTTATCTCTGCATCTCTGTTGTTCTTCAGCCCACGGGCCTTGCCTGTAGTTCCCTAGAGCCTTGTAAGGAAAGTCCCTGGGGGTGTGGCCCAGGCAGAAACTGTCCCTGTTTGTGTTGTTGTTTGCCTACGGAGGGGGAGAGAGCGGGAAACCAGAGAATGCCTCTTCCTTCCATTATCAAATGTTTCTTGAGCACCTACTGTGTGTCAGATCTGGTGTTGGGTTCTGAGATTGAATAAGGCATTGCTTCTGTCCTTCAGGTGCCCCCACCTGGTGGGGGAGACAGATGTTTTTCTAGTTAACCACAACCAAGGCCTCAACTTCCCCATCGGTCATATGGGTGGATTGCGCCCGATGGTCCCAGTCAGCCCAGTCCCAGGGCTCATTAGGTGGTCCGTGGTCTCCAATGCCTCCCACATGTGAATGCTCACAGAGAGCTTCGACCCCAGTCAGGACACCTGGGTGACTCTCTCTAGGAAGCTCAAAGACTATGCATCTGTCTGGATCGCATGTGGACACACAGTCACTCTAGGGCACCAGGTACACTGCCGGAAGGTTGTGGGGACGCAAGGGTGCATTGGAGTCCGGCTGCTGAGTAGCCCCCCAGCACAGTGAGGAGGAGAGACACAAAATGACCATGTAGAAGGTGAAGGGCTCCTTGATGCAGCTGAGATGAGCCCTAGCCTCATCGCCACCACAACTCCTTCCTCTAGGTCCCTTCGGTCCCTCCCCTGTACCACGTCTGTCCAGACCCTGGGTTCTTTACCCTGCCTCTACCTCCCTCCTGTTTGCAGATACGCCTATTAGAAGGTGCATAGACCCCTCTCAGATTGGTATCCAATGCCCTGGCTTACCTTGGGCCTGGGGGACCAGTCCAGGGCTAGCTGACACCTGAGATGGAGATTTCTGACCTTTTCACTCCGGCCCTGCCCCCACAGCCCCATCTCTGGTCAAACTGGATTCCTCCCGGTTCCCAGAACAAGCTGCATTTCCCCCTCCCTACCTTGAGCCTCCTTATTCCTTCTCCCAAGAATGTCGCCTTCACTCAGGCCAGCTGCCTTGCACAACTCCTGGGGACCTGCTCCCTCAGAGAGCTGCATTTCCCGCCTTGGCCCTTGCTGTTCTCCTTACCCTGACATCCTTCACCCAGTCCCTCTGCCTTGCACAGTTTCCCAGGGACCCCTGCATGGTGGCTCTGCAGCATAATCTGAGAATACAGCACTCCCTGGAGTTGTGCCACGCAGCACCCCTTTCCTGTCAAGCCCACCCAGCACCCACCCCTACTCCTGCCCGGTTCTCCCTTCCCTTTGAAGTCTCCTGGGACTTTGCACCCATGCTGCCTTTGTTAGATAGAGCCGAGCTGTGTGTCTTCCCAGAGTAAACACCATTTCCAGCATCCGGCCCAGGGCCTGGTCATGTATCATGGTCACTGCCCCCACCCAGTTCAGGCTCAGCAGGCTCGCCTGGCCGGCGGGAACGGAGTCTACCAGCCTAAGCATCCATGAGAGGGGACAGGCTTCTGTGTCTCTTTGGCTAAAAGCACATCACTCCCAAGAGCCCCCCCTCCCAGGCTGGGCAGGGAAACCAGGTGAAAGTGCTGGGAGAGAGTGCGTTATGGACCTGGAGTCCCTTCCTCCCAGCTCCTCATCCCCCCACACTCCACCTCATCTGGCCAATACCCAGATTGCTGGGGAGGCCAGAGGCGTGGATCATGATGACAGTAATGGCAATGATGAACGTGATAAGGACAAGGTGGGGGTTTTCCTTGGCAGTCCCAGAACTTCATCCTCAGATACTCTTCCTGAGAATTCCCACCCTGTCCTCCCACCCAAGCCTGAAATGCGAAGGCACTGAATGTGGGGACCCTCGTCTGTAGGCTCTGAACTCGGCTGGACCTGGCTGCTCCCCACCCCTGCTCTGTGAGCATCCAGGTGAGCTTGGGCTGTGACTCAGTGTCTGTCTCAGGTCTGACCTCAGCATGGGCCAGGGGACAAGGGGAAAGGGCAGTTTCCTCTGAGACTGGGTAGTGACTCAGGGGCCCAGGGCTGGGGCCTTAAAGTGCCTTTGTTGGCTACAGCTCAGGAATCCAGAGAAACTGGTCAGTGGGAGGCCCCAGTCACCGAAACCCCTCCCTCTGTCCCGCCCCTCTGCCCAGGCCATATAACTACTCAACTCGGAGCCTGAGAGCGCACGGTGGCAGTTGTTGGCAAGAAGGAACTGGTCTGGTCACACTTACTAGGCTTGTGCAACTGACTCTCCAGAGAGACACTCGGTGACCACCCGGCTTCGAATCCCGACTCACATCGAAAGGCTTCTCCCAGTGTACAACTTGAAGCCCATCCTCAGTGCTTGGAATCCAACAGCGCCCAGAGCAGGATCCGTTGGCCTTCCAGGTTTTCGACTCCAGCGGTCACCCAACAATGGCCTCCATGGGGCTGCAGGTGATGGGCATCGCCCTGGCGGTGCTGGGCTGGCTGGGGGCCATTCTGAGCTGCTCGCTGCCCATGTGGCGCGTGACGGCCTTCATCGGCAGCAACATCGTCACGTCGCAGACCATCTGGGAGGGCCTGTGGATGAACTGCGTGGTGCAGAGCACCGGCCAGATGCAGTGCAAGATGTACGACTCCCTGCTGGCGCTGCCGCAGGACCTGCAGGCCGCCCGCGCCCTCATCGTCGTCTGCATCATCGTGGCCGCGGTGGGCGTGCTGCTGTCCGTGGTGGGAGGCAAGTGCACCAACTGCGTGGAGGACGAGACCGCCAAGGCAAAGATCATGATCGGGGCAGGCGCGGTTTTCCTGCTGGCCGGGCTGCTGGTGATGGTGCCTGTGTCCTGGACGGCGCACAACGTCATCCGCGACTTCTACAACCCGCTGGTGGCCTCGGGGCAGAAGAGGGAGATGGGCGCTGCGCTCTACGTGGGCTGGGCTGCCTCTGGCCTGCTGCTGCTCGGCGGGGCTCTCCTCTGCTGCAACTGCCCCCCTCGCACCGACAAGCCCTACTCTGCCAAGTACTCTGCTGCCCGCTCGGCTCCCGCCAGCAACTACGTGTAAGGTGCCGCTGCTCGGCTCGTCTCGCCTCTTCGGCTTTGTTTTCTCCGCGCCGGGCTCAGTGCCGCCTGACTCCAGAGGGGCCCTGGCACGCGCTGCGGGCTGTTGGCTGCTGGGGGCTGGGTAAGCAGGAGCTAAGCTAAGCTAAGTGGCTAGCTGGCAGCCCTCGGCCCCCTCCAGCCCTCTCGGACACCTGCTTGCAGCCCGTTCTCACCAGCAAGGATGGATGTCGCGACTGCAGCGCCACCCTCCTCCGAATGCCCCTTAGACAGGGAGATGGCAGAAGCAACTGGGTGGCAAGGGAGTGGGGAGCTGGCTCCTGCTGGCCAGGACAGCTCAGCCCTGACTTTGAGCTCTGCCTCTGAGTGGGTGCCTTGGTCGTGCTGGGGTTGGACACTGTCCCCTTGTGAATCTTCTCCACTCCTTCTGACACCTCCCCGCGACTCCAGCTCTTCTCACTTCTGTCTCCCTGCACCCAGCACTGTTGGTCCTGGGCAGATCCTGATGTAATGGCAGGTGAGTAGGTGGGTCAGCGAGGGCCCCTTGGGCTGTGCTTTGCCCATGGCCATAATGCTGGGACCTTGCTCACCCACCTGCCCTGCCATGGTGCTGCTCAGAGTGGATAGACGGGTTTGGAGGGGAGGAGTGAAGGTGGTACAAACTGGTTTGGGTAGTGGAGGGGGAGGGGGCCAGTGAGGCAGGCCAGGCTGCTCCCACCCCTTCCTGTCCCCACCCAGGTTCTGCCTTGGTAAAAGGACCCCAGGCCCCTTGAGACTGGCCCCCTTTGACTTCTCTGCTCCTGCGATGGACAATAGCCAGCCTGGGGTGGGTGAGCTGGAACAGCCTCAGCCCAGGAAGCCCTGGGGCTTTCCCTGCCTTCTACATGGCTTTTATTTTGTAATTTAAGCTCAGCACTGTAATTATTATTATTTTCTACAATAAACAGGACTTGTGTACAGGAAAGCTCTGTGCTGTCTGATTTGGGCTGTGGAGGTGGGCAGGGTGGGGCTGGAGGCCTGGGCAGGGTCTCTGCCCCTCACTCATTTCAAGAGATTGTGAATCTGTCTTCAGGGAACTGCGAACAATCAGAACTGGCCCTAACTTTTGGAATTACTTTGTTCGAGCTTTTCCTTTGTTGGAAAGTAAACCCCATACACAGGAAACCGTGTATGCCCAGAACTCTGATGAAGTTGGGGAGCTTGGGAGGGAGGACAAAGGGGCCCTTCCCGCTCCCCACCCCAGCACTCCCCATCCCGGCTTCGTCCAGGCAGCTAGGCTGGCTGGCTCATCTTTCCTGGGTCACCCTGCAGGTCCTGCCTCCTGGCCTTTGCTTAGGCTGTCCCTGCCCTCAGCCTGGTATGTCCCTTTTTCCTTTCTCCACCCTGGTGAATCCTGCTTGTCCTGAAGGCCCAGGTCTGGGAAGCCTTTTCATGACTTCAGGATGGAGGACTCATCCGCCCTGTCCACATCTCCAAGATGTTGGCTGTCAAAGCCCTTTCATCTGCCTCAGCTCAGGCAGCCTCCAAGCTCCACCCAGAGCTCAGCATTCAGATTTTTTTTTTTTTTGGAGAGGTTTTTGCTATAGGGCACATACGCTTGCCAGAAAGAGAGACAGAGAGAGATAGAAAGCGAGAAATAATCTCCCAGGGGGATGGCCACGCCACAATCCCTTCTTCTTCATTCTCCTCTCAGGATCTTGGGCACACACGCACATGTGCCCGGCGTGAGTTTAAGCCACTGGGTCTGGGACTTGAACCACGGTTGACTACATGGGAGTTCAGCGACATAGCCATTACGCTAACTGCTGGTCCCAGCATTTGGATTTTTTAAAAATTTTTAAATTTTTTTTTTTAGAGAGATCTTTGCTATAGGGTACGGGCACTTGCCAGAGAGACAGAAAGCAAGAAATCACACCCCCCCCTTGTGGGCATGTAGGCACATGTGCGCAGCATGAGTTTTAAGTCGCTGTGTCTGGGACTCAAACTGTGGTTGACTATGTGGGAATCCAGCGACGTAACCATTACACATCCGCTAGAAGATTTTATGTATTTTTTTTTTTTTTAAGTTTTTGCTATAGGGCATGTGCCTTTTTCATAGAGAGAGAGAGAGAGAGGGAAGTAAGAAATCATCCCCCCAGGGGTGCAGCCATACTGCCATCCCTTCTCCTCTGGTTCAGATTTTGGGCATGTGTGCACCTGGCGTGATTTTCAAGCCACTGGGTTTTTTCATAGAGAGAGAGAGAGAGAGGGAAGTAAGAAATCATCCCCCCAGGGGTGCAGCCATACTGCCATCCCTTCTCCTCTGGTTCAGATTTTGGGCATGTGTGCACCTGGCGTGATTTTCAAGCCACTGGGTCCTGGACTTGAACTGCATCGCCAGCCATGTGTGATCCAGCTCCTTAACCTCCAAGCTATCTGCTGGCCCTCAGATCTCTTTAAAGATGAAGAAACCCATTCCCGGATGTGTGAAGCTGGCCCAGGCCCAGGCCCAGACCTACAGCTCAGGACTTGGGCTCTGATTCTGGGGGCTGTCCAGGATACAGCCTGGGGACTTGCTCTTGGAGTTGGACCCCCGCTCTGCCCCTCTCATGCAGTGTGAGCACATTCTGATGTGACCCAGCCTCGGACTCCTTGTCTGTGAGAGAGAGGGCCCAGGACCCTGGAGGAGAGACAAAGTCACAGCTGTGACCATAACATGCCTGGCTCGGTGATACCCAGGTGGGGCCCCTCTCTGTCACTTCTTGCTTCTTGGATACTCAGGGATGGACATCGCCCTTTCGCAGAGTAAGAGGACTGCAGAGCCTCGAGTTCTCCCTCTGGGAGCTTGTTTAATAGAGCGTTCCTGAGGACAGGGCTGGTGCAGTAGTCTGTCCCATTTTACAGACGAGATAGAGGAGGCCCAGAGGACAGGCCAACCTAAGGCCACACGGATGGTCAGAGGCCCGCTGGGGGCTAGGCACAAGACCTCAGTCCATCCACCCGAGCTGCCTCCTGCTTTCGGTACAGGTAGACAATCCCGGAGATGAAGCCCTCCTTAGCAGAGGTGCCTGTCACCTCGAGCTCGGACGTGGCCAGCTCCCAGCGATCCACAGGCCAGGCCACCAGGCGTTCCCACACCCCAGCCTGCTCCAGCCTGTCCAGGGTGGCCTCCAGGTCCTCCTTGAATCGAAGGTTGGATGAGTTGGTCCTGGTGGTCAGACACACCAGCCCCCCTGGGGAGAGGAGGGAAGAGGCGGTAAGCTGGGTAAGGGTGGGAGCCACGTTCCAGGCCAGCCCTTCCTGCTCATGACTCCGGGGCTGCACATTTTCCCAGCTCTGACCTCAGGCCAGCCTCCTGCCAGCTCCGCGGCTTTGGTGCTCACTGTCCTCTACACCCTCTGCTTTCTCAGCTTGGTGGCCTCTTGCCCCTTCAAGGCTCAAGTGTCCTTTACACTGGAAATTCTTGACTTTACCTCCTGGGTCAAGGGGCTCCCTCCTCACTGCCCACTCTCTGCTGGAGGGAATGGCTGTGTCTGGGGGCACACCTTGGGCAAGGCCCCTCACCGCCACGTGCCTCAGTGCCCAGCTGGCAGAGTGGGCATGATTATCTGTCTCACAGGAAGGCCGGTGTGTGTAAGATGCCCAGCAGCCAGTAAGTGCCCGCTGAGTGGATGAATGACTTTGTCCTCTGGGTCCAGGCACCTACAGTGTACTGTGTGGTGTCGGATGCATTCAGAGAGGAGGGGAAGACCAATGGATGCTATTTGGGAGGGCTTCCTGTATGAGGAGAAGCAAGGTGCTGCTGGTGGAGAGGAAAGGCTTTGAAGCGGGAGCGCCTGTCCCACGTGGGTAAGCAGACAGGACTCGGCCAGAAGAGCACAGGCGAGGGGAGGAGGTCCCTTCGCGTGATGGGAATTTCCTGTCCTCCAGAGCCCCACCTCCACCTCTCCCACTGACCCCACCGTGTCCCTGTGTCTGTCAGCCTCTAGAAAGCTGAAACCTGCCCAGACCTGCCAAGGCTTAGCCACTGCCCTGCTGTGCCCAGTGGCAGCAGGGATGAGGAGGAGGAGAGGAGGGGAGGCATTTTCTCCTCTCCAACTTCCTGGTCTTGTCCCGTGGCCAGCCAGCGCTCCTGGCTCCTGCCGCTCACACTGTCACCCTCCTTCTGACCCTTCACTTGGCGTAGGCAGTGCTCACGTGGCCCCTCCAGCCCTCGGGAATGCCTCCTCTGAGTTCTCAGAGCACTGAGCACTCACAGCCTGGGGAGCCACCTCTGGCCTGGCCTTGCTCTCTGAGAGGACTGGCGACCAGCGCCCAGAAGACGGGGTCTCCACCTTCTGCCCAGGGCTGAGGCAAGTGTGCGCGGCAGGAGCACAGGAAGCAGCGATGCAGGCCCAGTGCGAGTTTACATCTCACCTGGGCAGCTACATGTCGCAGGTGAGGAAATAGCCCAGGGAAGAGAAAGAGACCCACCTAACACCATGAGGGACTGAACTGAGGCCCCGCTAACGTGCCAGGCCTGCAGCACAGGCCTTTGAGACATTTCACCCAATGTTCACTGCGGCCCTAAGGGGAAGGGACCACAGGGACTATGCCACTCTGCTTATAGGCTAGTGGACACAGGCCGGGCGGGAAGATGGGGCTGTTCCCAGAGCCTTGGGTAAGAGGTGGCTGGCTCCCTGTCCACTCCGCCTGGATCTGTGGATGGTAGCTGAGGCTTGAACCTGGCCTGGGAGCTAGTGACTGAGATGCTAGTCTGGGCTGTGACCCTGGGTAGGACCCCTCTCCTTGGCTCACCTGAGGGGTTCTGAGGCCTGTGTCTGGGGAGTGCAAAGGGGGTGTGGGGGGAGTTGGCTATTCCTCACCTGGCTTGGTGACTCGAAGGAGCTCAGGTATTGCACTGCAGGGCACCTGGCCGTCACTCAGGGCACCCACCATCAGCACTGCGTCGAAGGTCCCTGTGCGGTGTGGGGAGGTGGTGTCTATGGTATGGTCTCAGACCACCCTAGAGGACAGCGCTCTTGGCTGGGGGGGACGGCTGAGGCGTGCTGCTTGTGTCCGCGGACTCCATAATGGACCGAGGCCCGATCACAGGGTGAAGCACTTGGTGACTGGAGCAAAATGAGGGGCTGGGAGTTCAGTTTGGGAGGGTGATCAGAGAGCTGGGCAGGAGAAGGGGGGGGTCCATGAAGGTGGGCCTTGGGGTGTTGAGGTAGAAGAGAAGTACCTTCTGGGCTGGGCAGAGGCTGCTGGCCCAAGGTGCAGAGGCTGAGGTTCTGGTAGATGCCACGGGCCCGGGCCTGCTCCAGCATCGCTGGGCTCCCATCCACCCCGTACAGCTGGAGGAAGCCCCGAGCCTGCAGCTGGGGTGGGGATGCGGGGGATTCAGTCATGGTTCCCACATGCCACTTCCTTGGGGGGGCACTGGGCCCTGCAGTGACGTGGCCTGTGTGTTTGGGACCAGTGAGTCTGAGTGGGTGTGAAGAATTCTGGGGCCAGGAATGGTAGGAATCTGAGAAAGTAGGGGGCTGAGCAGAGGGCAGAGGATCTGAGGGAGGCCTCACCTCAGCAGCCACCAGACCAGTACCGCAGGCCACGTCCAGGATTAGGGCAGCACGGGGAAGGCCTGGAAGGGCCTGGGTGAGACAGTCCACTGCGAGGCGGGGGGCACGGTACTTCAGGGCAGCCACATCCTGGGGAGAGAGTTGAGCCTGGCACCACCCAGAGCCCCGGGGTTTGGGGGCCTCATGGGCAGGAGTCTGCCAGGCTAGGCTGAGCACCTTCTGGGGAATGGGCTGTGCTGGGGCCACAGCAAGAGCAGACGTAGGCAGGAGGTGCTTTCTACTACCAAAGGGCCAGGACTGGAAGCGGAGGCGCAGCTGCTGGGTGTGGGGGGGTGGGGGATCCAGCCGCTCAGGGACCTTCCCTGCTGGCCCAGGCAGCTCTTTGACCACAGTGATCCTTCAGTGGCACCTCCTCCAGGCAGCCTGTGTCTGGGCTGCATTGCCAGGGTGGGGAGGCCTTGGCCTCATAGGGGCTGGCAATCTGGGGGCCTGAGGGGGGCCTGGTTTGTGAAGGCGCTAGATTGGCGGGTCCTCAGGCAGATCATTCTTACAGATGCCTGCTTCCACCTCCAAGCAAGGGTAAGAATTCCTTTTTTCTTTTTTAAACAATTATTTAATTTTATTAATTATTATAATTTTTAAAAATTTGTTACAGGGCATGAGAGAGAGAGACAAAGTGAGAAAGCAAGCTGCTAGGTCACCAGGTCAGGGACTTGACCAGTGGCTGGGCCTGTGGGG